CCTTTGGATTGATCTGATGGCTATAAAGTGAACCCCTTATAACTTACCACTTATAACTTTCCACTCATTATAGTCTGACCATATTTTATTTTGGACAGTCTTCATAAAATATAGTCCAGACTCTAGGCTGAGAGCAAATAAAACCAAGCGGGTAAGACCCAGTTGTGTAGCGGGAAAAGAGGGAAAAAGAAAAAAGCCCAAGAAGCTCAAACTGGGTGCATATAGCTTAAACAGAAGACGATGTCGCTTTACCTCCTGGAAATTTCAGAAAGTCTGGGACTTTGTTTAAATTTGAAGCCACTCTTTGCAGAAACAAGATTTGTAATTGTGACTGGTTCCCTTCAACGGAAGGTCAAGACGGTGCGTTTCGAGCCCTGAAACTCACCTGACTCGTTGAGTTTTAGTGCAAAACCCTAGAACGACTCAAATCGCACACATGGAACTCACCACTCCAAGTGAGTAACGGTTTCGCAATCAAATGTCGGAACTTTGTTTCGACAATATCAGTCTGTACCGTGAGATAGGGTTCACTGAGACAAAGGCTAGGAGTGGTCAAATTGATGTTAAAAAATATGAGAATTCAAATTAGAGATTGAGGATTCAAAGGGACATAAAAAATTGAACTTGCTTAACAATACTCGTATGTACCGTGAGCTAGAGTTGGCTGAGGCAAAGGCTAGGAATGATCAATTTGATGTTAAAAAATATGAGAATTCAAATTAAAGATTGAGGATTCAAGGGGACACAAAGGATTTGCAAAAACGTATATGAAAAAAATTGAACTTGTTCGACAATACCAGTATGTACTGTGTGCTAGGGTTGGCTGAGACAAAGGCTAGGAGTGGTCAAATTGATGTTAAAAAATATGAGAATTCAAATTAGAGATTGAGAATTCAAGGGGACATAAAAGATCTGCAAAAACGTAAATGAAAAAAAACTAAACTTGCTTAACAATACTTGTACGTGAGCTAGGGTTGGATGATGCAAAGACTAAGAGTGATCAATTTGATGTTAAAAAATATAAGAATTCAAATTAGAGATTGAGGATTCAAGGGGACACAAAAGATTTGTAAGAGTGTAAATGAAAAAAACTGAACTTGTTCAACAATACCAGTCTGTACCGTGAACTAAAGTTGGCTGAGACAAAGGCTAGGAGTGGTTAATTTGATGTTAAAAAAATATGAGAATTCAAATTAGAGATTGAGGATTCAAGGGAACATAAAAGTTCTGCTAAAACATAAAAGAAAAAAATTGAACTTGCTCAACAATACCAATCTGTCACGTGAGCTAGGGTTGATTGATGCAAAAGCTGGGAGTGTTCAATTTGATGTTACAAAATATGAGAATTCAAATTAAAGATTGAGGATTCAAGGGGACACAAAGGGTTTGCAAAAACGTATATGAAAAAAACTGAACTTGTTCGACAATACCAGTATGTACTGTGTGCTAGGGTTGGCTGAGACAAAGGCTAGGAGTGGTCAAATTGATGTTAAAAAATATGAGATTTCAAATTAGAGATTGAGGATTCAAGGGGACATAAAAGATCTACAAAAACATAAATGAAAAAAAACTGAACTTGCTTAACAATACTTGTACGTTAGCTAGGGTTGGATGATGCAAAGGCTAAGAGTGATCAATTTGATGTTAAAAAAAATATAAGAATTCAAATTAGAGATTGAGGATTCAAGGGGACACAAAAGATTTGTAAGAACGTAAATGAAAAAAACTGAAGTTGTTCAACAATACCAATCTATACCGTGAACTAGGGTTGTCTGAGACAAAGGCTAGGAGTGGTCAATTTGATGTTAAAAAATATGAGAATTCAAATTAGAGATTGAGGATTCAAGGAAACATAAAAGTTCTGCTAAAACATAAAAGACAAAAATTGAACTTGCTCAACAATACCAATCTGTCATGTGAGCTAGGGTTGATTGATGCAAAAGCTAGGAGTGTTCAATTTGATGTTACAAAATATGAGAATTCATCAAATATCTCAGCTGGTATTTTAGAGATATTCGTGCTGATAATGTATTATAAAACTAGGGGATTGTGGAGATAATTTAGAGGAATAGAAAGCAATTGTAGAAGAATAATTCTCAAGAGCTTAACCGTGAACTTCTTCTCTTCTATTATATTTCATTCATACTTGATACTTTGTTTTTATAGACATATGGATTACACTATTCACTAATATTTTATAATTACAATGATGGGTCATTGGGGCGAATCATGGTAAGTATTTCTTGGTATGGTATAATTTGTTATGGTAGGCATCCATTATATCTAGTTTCGTAACAATGATATTAATAATGACACTATTTTTCCTAAAATCTATATATATAAAGTAAAAGGCAGAGAATGGTAAAGCATTTAAAATATCAGAAAATGTCATTGGTTAATGCAAATATTAATAATTGAAATTATTAATTAAATGAGGATAATATGGTAAATTCACACTTTTTCATATTAAAAAAAAATTAAAATTAAAAGAAAAATCAGATAATAGATCCTATTTTTATGAAATACAACTATCTATTATCCTTTTTAGTTCTAAAATAAATTTAAAAACTTTAAGAAAAAAACATTGCAGGCGTGGAAGCGCGTGCAGAGAGACTAGTACATTGATTAAATAAAAGCCATTTCAGTCACAAGTTTAATTCGATATTATATTTAATGCATGTGGCAGGTTTTAATTCGATGTTTGTAGAGATTACAATAGGTCGGGAAGCACAAGATTACACCCAAATCAGCCCTATGCGCGAGTTAGGTTAGGTTTTCATTCCTCTCTCTCTCTCTCTCTCTCTCTCTCTCTTCTCTACTTCGATCAGCCACTGCGCCGCCTCCATCCTTGCACGGAAGTCAGCTTCTCTCTCTCTTATCTGTTCTATTTTTTCCCCATCCCTTCTTTGCTCCGCTAACTCTCTCTTTGCTCTCTGTTCTTATCTCGATTTTTCTTTGTTTCTCAGTCTCAGTTTCTGATCGCCGACAACATCTATTCCTCTCATATCAGTTAAAGGTGAGAGCATCATCTTCCTTTGAATTTAGGGTTTATTCTAAATTAAATTTATGTTTTTTTTCTTTTAAATTAGGCTTGTCGATTTGGTGGTTGAGGTTGATGTGATGATATATTTTTTCTGTTAAGGGTTTAGGGTTGTCGAATTAGGGCTGCTACCAATTGGGTTATGCTGTGTCGTGATGATCATTTGAAATTGACAAAGAAATTATGAACTGTTAGTTTCATTATACTAATTAGGGCTGCTACCAATTAGGTTCTTCTGTTAAATTATACTAATTAGGGCTGCTACCAATTAGGTTCTGTTAAATTATACTATTGTGATTATTTGGTTCTGTCCTTGGCGGTTCTGTTTTGCTAAATTAATTTCTGTTTTATGAAATTAGGTTCTATGAAATTACTATGTTCTATCAAACTGGCCAAGTCAGGAGTGGGTTTGCAGGAGTTAGTTTTCTGTCTGTTAGTTTTTGGGATTGAGCGGGAAAGGGAGAGCATTGTCGTATAAATGTAGCAAAGGTGTTTGATATTAAGTCAGAAAGAAAATAAAGTTTCAGACAGAGGCTTCCCTGCAGCAAGAAAGTCCTTTTATTTTTCATTGTGATCATTCAAGATCACCATGAATGATCACCTTCACCAGTCGGGCGGGTGCATATATATACAATGTTCATTGGCATAGTATGTCATTTCTAATCACCCAGTTTAGTAGTTTTCTTTTAGAAAATGTGTACACAATGTTCATTGGCATAGTATGGCTTTTCTAATCAGCCAGCTAAGTAGTTTTCTTGTATGTCTTTATTCAATTGGTTATTTGAGATTGCCACCTTCTTGTTTGGAAGACATGTGAACTTAGATATTTGCAGAACCCATTTTTGTTCTTTCAATTTAATAGTGCTAGTGTAACGTATGCAGGTGCTTCTTTCGTACGGTTTGTATGTTTAGCTAGGTTTAATTATTTAGGAGATAAATGTTTTTTCTATTTTATTTTTTTACCATTGAATTGTTTCTTGTCTTGGAAAAAGTTAGAGGCTGTGTTCTGTAGATTAAAGATTTAAATCTCTTACAAGTAGCTCAAATTGGCCCTTGATGTACTCAAACGGGCTGAATGGTTGGTCATGTAAAGAACATAAATGGATCTGCTTTTCTTGAGTGAGTTTTATGGTGTGGTGAACAGAGTGGCTGAATGATTTGTCTGTTACCTACATCATCCGTTCTGTCATGGCTGCCTTTTCTTTTTGTTCTTTGGGCATGTGGATCCGTCCTACTAATTATGTTCTTAAGAGGTGCATTGGTTCAAATTGATCCATGTTTTTCTGTAGATTGCTGGGAGATTGTGTGACAATCTACTCACCTGTGTTGTACGAGCATGGGACTACTACAACAAGCCGTTCTTTGTTGCACCAGCCATGAACACCTTGATGTGGAAGAATTGCTTCACGGAGCGACATATCATGTCAACTGGTGAACTTGGAGTGTCACTCATCCCTCCTGTCCCAAGGAGGCTGGGTTGTGGGGATTACGGGAATAGAGCAATGGTTGAACCCTCTTTGATTTATTATACTGTAAGACTCTTTTTTGTATCACAAGTTCAACATAGTGGCAGTATTGTATATGAACCAGTATATCTAAAACCATGGCAGAATGCTTTTGACGACAAACATGTGAGCCTCAAAGCCACTGCCCCATTTAGATGTGAGCCTCACTAAAATGGCAATGGTACCTTTTCTGATGGATTCTTTCAAAATAGAAATAATTTTCTTTTTAAACACTTGCCAACTCCCAATCCAACCCATTCCTACTAATCCCAGCCATTCTCATCTCATTCCCAACCCAAGTCATGGACAAAAGAATCACCGAAATACTAGCAATTTCTTTTGTTAAACCCGAACCTTGTAGACATTATCATGGGAACAAGTATCCGTCAAATAGAAACTTTCGGAGTTGTTACGTTCATTGGCAGAATGCTTTTGACAAACATGTGGGCCTCAAAGCCGCTGCCCCATTTAGATATGAAAGGGATGTAGCCATTCGAGCCCCATGGGACAACGCCCTTGAAGCATTTGAGGTCTCATTAGAGCCTTTCAAAACAAAGGTAGATTTGTTTCTCCTAGAGTCCAATGTGGTGATGATCAGGCTAGAGCACGCAACTAATCTTAGGCGTTTCTTTGAGATGCATCGTGACCATCATATGGTCGGACAGACCGAGCAATGTTGCCATATGATGGTCACGATCCATCTCGAAGAGACGCCTGAGATTAGTTGCGTCCTCTAGCTTGAGCATCACCACATTGGACTCCAGGAGAAACAAATCTACCTTCGTTTTGAAAGGCTCTAATGAGGCCTCAAATGCTTCAAGGGCGTTGTCCCATGGGGCTCGGATGGCTGCATCCCTTTCATATCTAAATGGGGCAGCGGCTTTGAGGCTCACATGTTTGTCAAAAGCATTCTGCCAAGGAACATAACAACTCCGAAGGTTTCTATTTGATGGATACTTGTTCCCATGATGATGTCTACAAGGTTCGGGTTTAACAAAAGGAATTGCTAGTATTTCGGTGATTCTTTTGTTCATGACTTGGGTTGGGAATGAGATGAGAATGGCTGGGATTGGGAGGAATGGGTTGGATCGAGAGTTGGCAAGTGTTTAAAAAGAAAATTATTTCTATTTTGAAAGAATCCATCAGAAAAGGTACCATTGCCATTTTAGTGAAACAAAGCGTTGTATGGAGGGATTCTGATGAGATTCCTATTCCTGGACTTCACGAAGAAGAGAGAGAGATGGGGAAAGTAATGTAATGACTTTTGTATATTTCTTTTTTTCTTAATGCTCTTAGCAATTTACACAAAGGAAAATTAGAGTGCGCATGCATTGTCTTCATCTATGTATTGAATGAAGGAAACATGCAAAATAAGGAAACACCGAATGACGTGACCATCGTGTATATATATATATTTTGGATCTTGCTCTTGCTTACCAGCATCAGTACAAGAAAAGAACTATTAGAGGCACGTGACCAGCTGAGGTAGTCATTGTTCAATGAGAAGATGCTAGGGCATCTGTTGCGGTCAATAGCAAGCTGGCATGTACATGACTTTATCAGTCTTTTAAAAACAAACACTGGTTTGCTTAGTCTTGTTGGTTTCATACATAACTTCATCCTAGCTCACGTTTTTCAGTATTTTTCTTCTTCTCACATCACAGCTTGTAGTACTATATATATATATATATATATCGCCCAAGTGGGGTTAAAAGAGTTGAAAGTATTGAGTTTAAATTTGCTACTCATATCGCCCAAGTGGCTGATTTAAGTCTTCTGAGTTAGAAAGGTTCCCAAATTTCTTCAAAGTTAGTAAGCCTCCCAAGTTTCTCCAAAGTCTTCTCCTAGTTATCTAGTTCCTTAGGTTCATCTCTCTCAAAAGTCCGTAAGGTGAGACCTTTTTACCAAATAGTAAGTCCCAAGTAGAGGCATGAGCGGTTAGGCACGAGAAGGTGAGAGAGAGAGAAAACCCATAGGTTCTTAGGTACCTTAGAGTCAGTCTTAGGAGTTACCCAAGAGTCTTACTAATCTAGAAGTCATGTAAGAATCTTTCTAATTAAGTTGATTTAAATTAAACACGTAAGCAAAATGAGTTGTTTATTTAGAACCAATTCAATTAATTCTTCTAGTTCAAGTACCAGTCTAAGCCAAGTACCAGATATAATTAATGAAGAACAATTAGAATTTGAGTCTTCTAGTTCAGAATTACATTGTAATGATTGGAATATTCCCAAAGTCTCTAGTAAAGAAATTTATAAGCAAAAATGGTCAATCAATGCATTCAAGACTACTACGCATGTTAAAACAGTAGAACAAGTCTATGCCTTAGGAAAAGAACATGAAACATGTCAGTTACTTAATTTAGATGCAATTAAAAATCATAGAAAAGAAGGTAATAATTTTTTACATATAGGTCTAGTTCAAGTTGCAGTTAAGCCCTTAACTAAATTAGGTTTAAAAGCCGCAATTTTATTAAGTTTAAGAGATGCCAGATTTAATGATTACCAGGAAGGAGTCTTAGGAATTATTGAGTCAAGTTTATGCCATGGTCCAGTTCATTTTGATTGTTATCCAGATTTTACAGTAAGCCTTAGTAATCCTCATATTTTAAAAGTTTTAACTTTAAATATTAAAACTCATGGTTATAATGTTTTACCAGGTACCCAGCCTTTAGCTTTAATTTATAGAATTTATTATAAAGTCACAGGTACTAATATGAATTTCCAAGCCTTAAGCAAAAGCCCAAAGAACCAAACCCTTTTAATTCAGAGTCATACGTCTTGTGCAAATATCAAAGTTCCTCAAATGATTAGATGGTCAGATGTTAGTTTACCTAAAGATTGGTTTTTAACCACAGAATGCCCCCCTAAGCCAATTCAACGAAGCCTTAATGATTTAGATTACATCCAACCATATTTAGACGGTACGGTTAAAATTAGTTTTGATAGGCCAGTCAAGACCACAGTCCAATTAGAACAGTTACCTTCGCCTAGTCAATCTTTTAAGCCTCCAGCAAGACATTCGTCTGCAGAATCATCTTCAATTACAGAAAGAGATTTAGAAGCCGATAAAGCCTTAATTGATTTTAAAATTAATGAATTAAGAAAGGCCAAACAAGTGGTCCAACCTAGTTATAACAGAATCCCTACTGCACCACCTGAGCTAATACAGCCTGAATCACACACTAAGTTAGATATGCAAGATTCTACTTTTGAAATTTATAATTGTGATGCGCAGTTAAGAGTTCTTAATAAGCCGTTTAAAATTCATTGGTCAAGGTTAGATGCCCATTTCCAAGCCCCTGAAAATGCTGAACGAAAAGCCAAGTATCATGATTCTTTCCCCCATGCTCAGAGAAAAGAGATTTTCAATGAGCGGAAAGAATATCTAAAGGCAACTAGGTTTGAGTCACCTTATCTTGATTTTGTAGAAAGCAAATATCTAAGTCAAAAGTTAGTTACTTTAACCCAGGAAAAGTGGGAAAAAGCCGATAATACCAAAGTAACCAGTACTCACCCCCCAGTTGAAGCAATAGTAATTAATCATCGAAATACTAAAGTGGTTGCAAGCCCTTACAAAGTAGCTGAGTCAAAAGATGAGCCAGTTAAGAAAGTCATAGAACAAAATAATTATGCCAACACAAGCCTAATAGTAATAGGTAAGCAATTAGATAAGATAGAAACAAAAGTTGATAAGTTGATTCCACATGAAATTACCCTTAAGCCTAAAAAAGAAAAGCCTTTAGTTCACTTCGAGTTAAAACCAGAGTCTGCCCTTAGAGTCAGTCCAACGATGCAAAAAATAGAAGAAATGTTTCAAGAATTAACCCCGGTCAAACCAAAGCCCAATAAAGATAAAGAAAAAGAAAAAGAAGAAGAAACCTCAATTAAAGTTTTAAGCTTTGAAGTTAATTCTGATAATGAGTCGATCATGTCCTTAGAATCAAGCCAAAGTCAAGAATCAGAAACTAGTAATATCTCTAAAATTGAACAAGCCTTTAGTAATCTCCAAGCGGAGTCAATGTCCTTTTATATACAATTATTGAACATTTTATAGGTACGCCCAGTAGTACAACAGCTAGAATTCATGACCAGTTAAGTAATTTGCGATGCCCAAAGCTAAGTGATTTTAGATGGTATAAAGATGTTTTCATTTCCAGAGTCATGTTAAGAGATGATAGTAATCAAGCCTTTTGGAAAGAAAAGTTCATAAATGGTCTCCCTAATTTATTTGCCCATAAGATTAGAACAGTCTTAAGCAATGAGTCAGGTCAAATTAATTACGATGAGTTAACCTATGGTAATATAATTAGTACCATTAACCAAGTTGGTATGAAAATGTGTGTAGATAAAAATAGGAAAATCAATCCAAGCCGATAGAAAAAATGCTAAGTATGAGTTAGGTAATTTCTGTGAACAGTATGGTCTAGCACCAGTCCCGCCATCCAGACAAGTCAAAAGAAGCCATGATAAACGCTTTAGTAAAAGTCGCCATTATTCCCGTAGGAAAGATTCCTTCAAAGATGATAATGAATTCTATAGTAGAAGAAAATTCACCCCTAGGAAAAACAAATGGTCAAAAGGTTATTCAAAAGGTTTTAAGAAAAGCCCCCGACAAGGTAAAAAGAGTTACTTTAAGAAAAGTACAGATAAGAGCAAAGTCAGGTGTTACAAATGCAAAAAGTAAGGTCATTATGCTAATGAATGCAAAGTTAAAGATACAGTTAAACAGTTAAAGTTAGCATCAGAGGATGAAGCCAAATTAATTAAAATTCTTGAGTTAGCCAATACTGAGTCAGAACCTATGCCCTCAGATAGTTCAGCCAACTATAGTTCAGACAGTTCCCAGTCCAGTTCACCAAAAATCCAGTTTGGTTGTAAAGATAAATGTTGCAAAGTCCTGAATAATGCAATTTGTGTTCTTACTAAGCAAGAAGAACAAGAAGAGTTACTAATTGAGTTAATAAGTAAAGTCCAGGATCCCGAGTTAAAAGCCGAATACCTTAGAAAGCTTAGAAAAGTCATAAGCCAAGAAGAATCCAGTTCTAGTAGTCAGCCTAAGATAAGCCTTAATACTACCCTAGAAAGGTTTAATAAAAAGAAAGAAGTCACACTTCAGGATCTCCAGTTAGAAGTTAAAACAGTTAAGAAAGAAATTTTAGAATTAAAACAAATAAGCCAAAAGTTACAAACTGAGAATTATGGAATTAGGCAAGATATAATTAAACTTCTAGAGTCTAGAGCAGAGTCTAGTAATCCCTTCGGTAAGTCCAGCTCTGAGTCTGTTTGTGCCTGATAAATCACGGCCATAAGCTGGTCGAAGGAGCCCCTTCTCTCGGCCCTGGCACATGAATTTGAGTTAAACACAGTTGCCTTATTCGATTCAGGAGCAGATTTAAATTGTATTCAAGAAGGTCTAGTTCCAACCCAATTTTACAAAAAGTCAAAAGAAGTCTTGGGTACAGCGTCCGGTAAAGCCCTGAAGTTAAAATACGAGTTACCTAACGCCCATGTATGCCAAAATAAAATATGCTTTAAAACGTCTTTTGTGTTAATCCAGGATATTACTGATGAAGTAATTTTAGGTTTACCCTTTATCTCATTACTTTACCCCTTTCAGGTAGAATACGACAGAGTCACCTCAAGCCAATTAGGAGAAAAGGTTAAATTTGAGTTTTTAACTAAGCCAGAGTTACATAGTCTTAAGTTACTACAAAAATCAGCAGTTTCTAAGTCAGTCAAATTAATCCAGAGTAAAACAAAACAAGTTAATTTTCTTAAAAAAGAAATTAAGTTTAAAAGAGTAGAACAACAGTTAGCCGACAGGTCATTACAGTTACAAATTAGTAAATTTGAAGAAAAGTTAAAAAATGAAGTTTGTTCTGATTTACCCAATGCCTTTTGGCACCGAAAGCAACATGTAGTTACTTTACCTTATGTCAAGTCATTTAGTGAAAAGAATATTCCAACCAAAGTCCGTCCAATTCAAATGAGCCAAGAATTAATGGAATTATGCAAAGCCGAAGTCTCGGATCTAGTCAAAAAAGGAATAGTTAGAAAAAGTAAGTCACCCTGGTCTTGTCCAGCTTTTTATGTCCAGAAAAATGCTGAGCTAGAAAGAGGAGCCCCACGCTTAGTTATCAATTATAAGCCCCTTAATTCAGTCTTAGAATCGATTAGATACCCAATTCCTAACAAAAGAGATTTAGTTAATAGGTTAGAAAAGGCAGTAATCTTTAGTAAATTTGATATGAAAAGTGGTTTTTGGCAAATCCAAGTTAAAGAATCATATAGATACAAGACTGCATTCGTAACC